CTTAAGGAAACCTCCATATTCAGCTGCAGTTCTAGTGGAATTTGCCCGTCAATATCCCATGAGAACCGCAGCTCCGTGCGTCGCAGGACTGGTGGCGGAAAGATCGGGAGCCCTGGGTTTTATCGTCTGGCAGGGTGGTGTTGACAGGGACCTGCAACAATTGGAAGGATGGAGCATGGAATTGTATTTACATATACATAAAATTACATAAATATAAATATCATATAGACACATGATATAAAATATGATTAAACACACACATGATATATAAGATATATAGATTAATATATAACTATATATATATACTGTATACATATATTACATATATATATTAATCGAAGGAAGTTTAGAAGTCAAACTTCCGACAATATGGACGGATGCTGGACGGATGAAAAGCAGAGATGGGAAGAGTCAGAGAAGAGAAGAGAAGAAGAAAGAAGATCAAAGAGAGAAAGTCTCAGAAGACAGAAGATCCAGGTGCGCGAAAAGGTAGGAAAGTCGCGAAACTCTGTGTTTTTCCAGTGATTTGTGGCTCCGGAGGGCTGAAAAGTAGGCTCGCTAAAGCGGCGGGTGCGGAGCCAGCTGGCCAGATGAGAGGTGAAAAGTTGCACGCCGTTGTGGCGCAAAGCACATTTCCAAGTCAAAACGCACAAAGCACACCATTCTCGGACCACTTTTGGAAGTTGAGATGTCGCAAAAGTGCACGCCGTTGTGGCGCGAAGCACATTTCGAAGTGAACATGTACAAAGCACGCCATGTTCGGACCACTTGTCGAAGTTGAGATGTCGAAAAAGTGCCCACCGTTGTGGAGCGAAGCACATGTCCAAGTCAAAATGTACAAAGCACACCAGCTCCGGACCACTTTTGGAAGTTGAGATGTCGAAAAAGTGCACGCCGTTGTGGCGCGAAGCATGGTCAAAAGTGAGCAAAACGTGAGGGTTTTGTAGCAGTTTCGACTACAACCACCACAACACTACACTACACTACGCTCCACTACACTACAACTACAACTACAACTACGACTATGACTACGACTACGACTACGTACAACTACAACTACAACTACAACTACAACTACAAGTACAATACATTGCATTACAATATGTTACACTCCACTACACTCCGCTCCACCCCATTCCACTCCACTCCACTCCACTCCACTCCACTCCACTCCACTCCACTACACTCAACTACACTACACTACACTAAGCACAGCTACAACTACAACTACGCTAAACTACACTAATTACACTACACTCCACTCCACTCCACTCCACTTCACTACACTTCACTGAACTACAACTACAATTGCAACTACAACTACCACCGCAACTACCACTACACTACACTACACTACGCTACGCTACAGTACAGTACAGTACAGTACAGTACACTACAGTACACGACGCGACACGACACCACACCACACCACACCACGCTACACTACACTACACCACACCACACCACACCACACTACACTACACTACACTGCACTGCACTACACTACACTAGTTGCATTACACTACGCTACACTACATTACGCTACGCTACGCTACGCTACACCACACGACACCACACCACACGACACCACACCACACTACACCACTACATTGCACCACACTACACTACAACTACAGCTGCAACTACAACTACGCTACTCTACACTACACTGCACTAGACTACTTTACACTACCCTACATGTCATTATGCTACAGCCATTATACCACCACAATTGCAACTGCAACTACACTACGCTATTTACACTACACCACAACTACAATTCCACTACACTACAACTACAACTACAGCTGCGCTACACCACACTACAGCCTGCAGTTGTGGGTGAGGGGACCGACCAGGTGACCACTGCAACCATTGTAACCACTCCAAAAAACACAACCCCAACCACCTTTCAGTCCATCAGTGGATTCGCTCTGCCATCTGTGATTCACAACAACCAACCTCTGCTAAAGGTTTTCTATTTTTGAAACTTCCGCCACCCCCTTGTGCGGCACTACTCGTAACTACATTTGTTATTTGTAGTTGTGGAGGCCATTCCGAGGAGTAAACTGGCCTTCGGGTATCCGTGCTTAGCAGTACCTGATTGCCGACCATGACATGGAGAATTCTTTAAAGCAGAGGGTGTTTCATGCTCTATCCCCACCTTCAAGGCCTTTGAAGGTGCGATGCCAGTGCGTCGAAACTTTGTATCTATCCGAGGGTAAAGAAAACCAAAAACCAGTTTTTTGTTTAAGGATGTTTCAGGCGGTACCAGGAAACAGAAAATTCTGGCATGGTCAAGCCTGTCAAGTTTTGCTATACAGCTTTGGTGACAGAAATGGAGGACATATTCATAGCGTATTCGGGACACATGCATTTTTTTTTTGCGTATCATGCAACCATATCCAACCATACAGGTTTGTATTGTGGGATCATCATGTACAAAACATGTTGAGTCAGTTTGTTCACTTTCTCCCAGAGAAAAGAGACCCTGCCAGATGCAGATTTTACGATTTCACCACCGAACTCGCCAGGGGTAGCTGATCTTTGGGTGATGTAACCAGCTCAGGAAAAAGAAGAAATTGTCGCCCATGAAACAACGAATTCAGCTGGGCAGCTCAAGATCTTCAGCAAAGAAAACGGTGAGAAAACCCATTGAGGCATATTGAGGCTCTTCAAGAGGTGAAAGATGTCGGGTGGGGTGTGTGCCCACTAGCAAGGCAAATCGTTGGTGTCATGCACAGCACATTGTTCATGCATTTTGATTGGAATGGCAGATGGTCTGATCTCATGCGAATTGAATAGAATCCATGGGAACTTCGCACGAGTTAAACACATCTAGAAGGTCTTGGCACTGTTCTCTTCACTCAGGACATTGGTACTAGAAAGCGTCGTAGACACCACTTGAGTTTATTCCCTGGGGCCAGGGCCATCTGTGAAATTGAATTCCTAAATGGCAACGCCTTTTTAACTGGTTGTGTTGGCCTAGGAAAAAGCGAGAGAAGATGGCAAACAAGACCTTGGTGGATTCCTTCTTGGAGGCCCTGCGTTCCCACATGTTCCACTCGTTCCAGGGTGTTCGTCGGTTAGTCTTGGTTGGGCGGAGTGAAACATAGGGATATTGCGGACGTTACCGATGTTAATGGGTTTAAACTGGTTTAAATTGTGGCTTCTTTTTTTTTCTTGGTTGCTTTCAGTGGACAAAGATATGGAACTAAGACACAATGTAAATCAGTTGCTGATATTCAATCCAAACAGATGAGACAGTATGTCAATCATCGGGTCAATGTTAGAATCGCTATAAAATTGCTTTTGGCTATAGTAGACTGGGATACACTGAGTCATGCCTTTCACTGTGTTCGATTGTGAGAAATGATGGACGTTGGGACGTCTCGTATTTCTTGGATTGTTTCGTTGTGGTGTATTCTCAGCATGCTTTTGAATGCACAGTCCTGACGATCGACTCAGTCGACATCGAATTCATTCCCTTTGCAGACTTGGTTCCCTGTATTGATGGTATTGAGAGAACCACATCCAGGTTTTCAGGAACACACAAATTCTGGAATCACTAGGAGTTTCCCATTCTGAAAGCTGTTGTTATTAACAACAAGCCGTGGGTGGAAAGTGAAGCGAACTTTGTCACGGCAAACGAGAGCAGTGTTCGAGACCATTGGTTGATGATAGGGGTTTCCATAGTCATGGTGGTACCCCCATAGCTGGAGAGTTAAATTTCATGGAAACTCCCCCATTGAATGGATGATGATTTGGGGGTACCCCCATGACTCAGGAAGCCTCCATATTTTCCTAAGATTTTGGGGATGAATCCTGATGAATCACAATGAAAATGGGGAATCCGGGAAAACCAACTCAGGTTGTTCTTTGGTCTTCCTGAGGTGGAAGTCTTCAAGATGTTCCTGCAGAGCTTGGTGTTTCTTGGGCTCCTGGAATATGGGATGATTGGGATGTGGTTACTACAACTGGCTGTTTTAAGGTATGTAACTTGCTTGGAGTAGAGGCACCCAAGTCCATCATGTTTTCATATGTGTTCATATATATAATTATATATATGGAGGTGTCCTGAAATGGGGGTCCCCAAAATGGATGATTTATAATGGACATTCCCACTAAAATGGATGATTTGGGGGTACCCCATGACTTAAGAAACCTCCATCTATTGTTCATATGTTTTTCAGCATTTCCCATAACTTCTTAGCACCGTCTTTTGAGAGGAATGGATAGAAATCCGTGAGAATTGCGACCTGCAATCAGCAGCATGCCTGCATTCATTGATAGTTTAGCTGCGCTATGTACATAGACACATGCACAATGATATCATATATTGAATATGTATATGGTTTTTGTTCATTATCTCTATTATGCTTATGCAAACAAATCTTGTGTATCATTATTCCATATATTTGTTGTCCATGTGTTTCTTCATAGAATCATGATACATTTGCATCTTCTTCCCGGGCTCCCGGGCTGCCGTTCGTTGTGTCCAGGTTGTTCCTGCTGGCGGGTGGACAGTTCGGTTGGATGCCCGGGCCAATCTGCGCTCTCATGTTGGGAACCTCAGCCCGATGATTCAATGGATGAGGTACCCATGGGTAGCCCTATTTCAGGAACCCATCTGTATATTATGTATATACCCTGATGTATCTATATATATATACATATAAGAATGGCTTCTAATGTGTTCTTTTTTTGATTTAGGTTGATCTACAGATATATCTATCTGATATAGATATACCTACCTGGAACCCATATTAATATCCGATGTCACTGGTGAGAAAACTGGGATATTTCTGATTTTTTAATCTCACTTGCCACTTCGCCTGGGATGTGTTTGGAAAAAGTCGACAGCGGCACGTTTGGTGTGGAATCCTTCAGAACCTTCGATTGATCCAAAGTATCTAAAGGTTGAAATTTTGGGCTTCGCTTTTGAAGGTTATCTTTTTAATAGAAGGACGGACACAAACACACAAGATGACATTTTGCAGATGGTTGTCTATGACAGTGCACACGGTGCACAGCTGGTGACTTCGGTGCCCAAACTTTGGCCCAGGTGCATTTTGGTTTGTGTCTTCACAATGATCTTCATGAACGTGAGCACTTTCCGCAAGGTGCGTGTAAAACGCATAGAAAAACACCGACAATGACCCTCTGGTTATTTACCATAGCCATGGAACATGGCCCATTTATAGATGATTTTCCCATTAAAACCAGATGGTAATCATGATTCCAAGCAGTTTACAAGAGCAGTTTAAACGGTGCACACGCGTCCGATAACCCACGTACGTCTGAGTCCACTGACAGTGTCTGTTCCCGAAAAATGCAGATAATGCAGATCTGGACATGTTTGCATAGTGCCCTAGATTTTTCGAAAAAACCGATTGCCTGAAGAACTATGCAAAGGCTGGTGCTGGTAAGTTTCCACATAACTTACCATCAGTCCAGATTGGATACCCGGCAATGTATGTACCTTGAAGCTCTTTACAACATAAACGAGACGCTCATCATGGTTTCTAATTGTGGACCTGCTGTGGAACAGAGACTCGCACCTAGTGATTTTGGCCTTCCACTTATCACTCTTTTTGTTGGTACTTGGTGTATCTTGACATTACTAGATCAGTGTTCAAAACCCCTGTTGGTTGATGATTAGGATGATTAGTTCGGGGATTATACTACGTACCCTTTATCTGTTGGGGATAATCATACCCTCCAGTAAACGTTTACATAGCTATTGAACATGGCCCAGTCGAAATAGTTGATTTACCCATTGTTTCAATGGTGGATCCTTCCATAGTTCTCTGGATGTTTACCAGGCCTGGTAAATCCCATTAAATCCCATTAAACCACCATTAAATCCCATTAAACCACCATAAAATCCCATTAAACCACCATAACACACCAATTAACCACCATAAAATCCCATTAAACCACCATAAAACCACCATAAAATCCCATTAAACCACCACAATCTATAATGATCTTCACCAACCGATCTGAAAAAAACAATAACACCCACAGAGATTCAGGAGATGAACAAGCAGATCGATAGCATTTCGCAGTCGGTCACAGAGATGTACCGCATGTACAGGCCATGTTGGCCATGTTGGTCACTGAGCAGTGCTGAAAGGTTAGTCGCCTCTGGTAATGACTAACATACAGTTTGCGAACTGAAAATATGGCCCATAGAAATAGTTGATGATAGTTGATTTACCGTTCTTGAAGACGGTGATTTTCCAGTTCGCTTTTTGGATGTTGACCAGAGGGTATTCATAGCGCTTTATTTTTTGGGGAGCCATTGCAACTGCAGTCTGCAATCTTCAGTAATAAACCATGGCAATCGAAAATCACTCAATTTAGTTCGATGATTTTCTAAAACTTACATTTAGTTTGTGGATTTCCAAGCTAGCCATGGTTGATTAGCTTTTAAGGTACATTCTGTTGGGTCATCCAAGCACAACCTTGTTACAAAAGTTACCTCTTGCAGCACTTGCATCAAAATTGTGCACAGCTGGCGGCACTTCTGGTGTCCATTGGCACAGCACCCTTGGTATATCTTGGTATACTGAAGAAATCTATAGATGACAAGGAATGGTATGAGCCATGGTCAATACTCACTATATGGTTGATGGTCATCCCATCCATAATAAGGATCCTTATAATGGTTATTATAAATCCCTATGAACCATTGGATGACTAGCCCCTATTAATGGTTATTAACCATGAGTATTGACCATATGGAATGGTGTGGAATGGTTGACCCCCGTCAAGTTATGCCGCCAGCGTCAAGTCGCCAGGGGCTACGAAAATTCCGTCCGCACTTGGCTCGGTGGCGAAAACTTCTTGGGCGTAACGTCCGGGACTTGGTTCCCCTGCATTTTTTTTTCTGATGCTATGAATACGTAATATCTATTTTTTGATATCCGGATACCCATTTTCACCTTCATGGACTTCATGCCAATCTTTGCCCATATGGAGGTTTCCTAAAATGGTACCCCAAATCATCCATGTTCACAGGATGTCCAAAATCTTTTTGTCACCCACAAAAAATTCGAGTATCTGCAGTATCCATTGACTCCATCGTCAAATCCATCCTGATAGATCCAAGGTTCATCAACTTTGACGGCGCTCATGCCAGCGACTTGGAGAATGTTGCAGCAACTCGGCGATGGACCTGATGGAACTGTGGATGTCCAGGGTTCCAAGTAGACAAAAATAGATGACTAATGAATATTAATGATCATTATAAATATAAACCATTATAGATCACATCATTAAGTATACATATATATATATACACTGTATATCACATATAGATAAGGATAAACCTATTACGAACTAGTAAAAATGTATGTATGTTCTCAGTATATGTGAACTACATGTGATATCTATATCCCGAAAAAACAAAAAAAACTATCCCGGCAAGAGACCCCTTAAACAGTGTGCTTAAGGACATTTTTAGGGTAAAGTCTTCTGGGAGGAGAGTTCCAGAAGAGGAGACATGAATCCAGTGGGGTTTTCAGGTGTGGTCACGGAACGGAGCTATGCAGCAAGATCTATGTACCCTCTGGTAAACTAACATAGCTATGGAAAATCACCATTTCTAATGGGAAAACTCACTATAAATGGCCATTTTCAATAGCTATGTTAAATTACCAGAGGGTAAGAGACCTTTTGGCAAGATCTCTGCAACATCTCTCTATGCAATGTCTCTGTACAAGATCTCTATAAGAGGTCTCTTGGCAAGACACAAAAAAAGAGATCTCTCTATTTCAGAAATCAAAAAACAAGATCTCTGTCAGGGACCTCAAAGTAAGGTCTCTGTTCAAGCTCCCTATAAACGATCTCTGAGCAAGATCGCTGCTCTCTTCACCAGGTCTCTGTACAAAATCTCCATCAGAGGCCTCCTGACAAGGTCTCTGTACAAGATCCCTATAAGAGCTCTCTCTGCCCAGATCTCTTTAAAGAGGTCTCTTGGCAAGACCTCTGGACAAGATATCTATAAGATTCTATAAGAGATATCTCGGCAAGATCTCTTTATGACATCTCTGTACAAGCTCTCTATAAAAGCTTTCTTGGCAAGATTTATGTAAGAGACCGCTTGGCAAGATCTCTGTAAGGGATCTCTTAGCAAGATCTCTTAACAAGATATCCATAAGAGGTCTCTTAGCAAGATCTCTGTATAAGCTCCCTCTAAGAGGTCCTTTGGCAAGATTCTGTATGAGATGTCTCGTTTTGTGCGAGCCTGCGCGGTCGAAATGCACATGAACATTTCACTAAGAGCAATTTTGTGTGGAAATTTACATGAAAAGTGCCGGACGCTAATCCCGCGACACCCGTTTGTGCGAGCCTGCATTATCGAAAATGCACATGGACTTTTCACAAGAGCTATTTTGTTTCGAAATTTACAGGAAAAATGGCTGCGGACACCTCCGGGGACATCGTTTTGTGCGAGCCTGCGCAGTCGGAATGCACATGGACATGTCACAAGAGGCATTTTGTGGGGAAATTTACAGGGAAAATGCCGCTCGCGTTGCCCACGGCTATCGTTTTGTGCGAGCCTCCGCAGTCGAAATGCACATGGACATGTCACAAGAGGCATTTTGTGCGGCTCGCGTTGCCCACGGCTATCGTTTTGTGCGAGCCTGCGCAGTCGAAATGCACATGGACATGTCACAAGAGGCATTTTGTGCGGCTCGCGTCGCCCACGGCTATCGTTTTGTGCGAGCCTGCGCAGTCGAAATGCACATGGACATCTCACAGGAGCCATTCTGTATGGAAATTTACAGGGAATTGGCCGGACACGGATGATGCCAACCTCGATTGAACACCGGGCCTTAACTGTTACCGTGAGAACCCCTCAGTGTGGGCACACTAATTGGGGAAAAAAATGGAATCCCGCCGACGCTGCCAGGATGTGAACTTTGTGGTGCCTGAACTGGGATTGCGCCTCACAGTGCGGCCCCTGGTGTTCATCACATCCAGTTAAAGAGCTGGATGTAAAGCTGGGACTTGATGGATGGATGATAATGAATTGAATGTTCATGACCTGAAATCATGATATGCAAATGATGTAAATGCTCATTTATGAATGAATGTACCATGGATGTACATGAATGTTCATCACCCCGATTTTTTGATAAAAGCTAGTTTGAAGGTGTTTGAAAGTATGGTTTCTTTATGGCATCAAATTGTAGCCGATTGGGATGCGTGAGGTGTACTCTCGGTCCAGTCTCGAATCCAGAGTGTCCTATATGATATGATGCATATTAATTTGTATGGCTAGTCCATAGGTCATTCAATTCGATTGTGTTTGCAGTACTCAGTACTCCCAGATGTAGTCACTTGTAGTAAGATACTATTGAAGTGATGTTGACAGACTATGCAATCAAAGGCATTCTGCAGGAGGTGGCCATGAAACATTTGGTTGCAACATTGCCCACCTTGTTGCCCAACATGTTGCCCAACATGTTGCAACTGTTATGACTTGTGTACACCCAGCGAAACAACAACGGAACAACCAGACGTTGATTGTTTGTGCATTTGGATCGTTTCATGCTCTGCCTCTAGTTAGGCTCCTATCATACCTTGCTTGTTGTTGATTGTTGCTGGATCCGGTGTGATGTTTTTGATGATTTATCCTCCTGTAATCAAACATGGCAATGGAACATCCACTATTGATGGATGATTTGACCATTAAAACGAACGCTTTTGGGTGGATTTTCCATTGTCACCTTCGATTACCAGAGGTAAGTTTACCACGTGTCACAGCTTTGTGGCCTGAGGGAAAATCCGTGGTGGACGATTTGTTGCACGGGAACCAAGTGTGACCCAAAGAGAATGGCTGTTGCCCTGGGGGCCTATGGTAGTGAAGAATCCCTACATCACAAACGGTTGAAACTGGGGCACCACGGCATTCCATGGCTCTTTCTGGAGGGAACTGGCTTCCAGAAGACCATTTCTTTTTTCGATGGGCTCATGTTGGCTGATCCTGTTTTTTGCGCTGTCAATATCATGTGTTTTTTGTCCAGATGTCAATGATGTCTTTTCGGATCTGGGTCCTGGTGCTGAAAGGAACCACTGCCAACGGTTCAACGTGTCAGGCCGCAGGACGAGAAACTCAAACAACAACTCTTGAAGTACACAGCGTGCCACCGGGGCATGGCTTGAGGTGGTTGGACATGACCCCCAAAAATTTCCATCGGCCATGCGTTTGATGATTTAATCATATGAATTTGATCATTATTAACCAACCATATCATAAAGTATCATTTGATGAATATTTGGGATCATCATCATTTCAAACCATATCATCATTTGATCATAAAACCAACCAATCATATCATTTATTGATGATTAATATGTTTGAAAATTAATCTCTATCATATCAAGAATCATATCCTTGAATCTTCCAGCCGTGCCGATCAGATCCAGTTCAGCTTGGGCAAATATAAGAGTTTGGGATTTGTCTGATGGGGTATGCCCCCCAAAATGGTCATTTTATTGGACACAATTAGACCAAGAAATTTAAGGGTACCTTAAAATTTCAGATCAACCCAGGATTCAAGTTGAATTGATTCAAAGATGAGCAAAGATATGCCTGTCAAAACAGGATGGACAGATGGCTTAGGTGTAGGGATGATGCATGAAGTTAATGAAGAAGAGGGATGAACTGGGATGAACAGCCGGGGAATTGGCAAAGACTTGCGCAGATCATTCAGCACAGCGGAACATTATGGGTTCCATTCATTGGCCAAAAGAATATGTGGTTTGTCAATGGGATACTCATGGATGCCCCCAAAGTCGGATGAAAATCATCGTTTTCCCATGAAACGGCAGTTTCGGGTCTACCGCGGTCTACGAAAAAACCATCAGGCCACAGCCCCGCTGCGTCTCAACTTTGGCTTTAACTCCTGCAGCAAGACATCAGAAATTAGATTCAACTACTTGAGCCAGAATACTCCTCTTGATTGATTCGAAAAAGGGGGGTTCAACTACCTGAATTTGGGGATTGTTACGGCAAGTTGCGAAACTCGTTGGAATTTGCTCATCAAACATACCCTCTGGTAATTTAACATAGCTATTGAAAATGGTGATTTATAGTGGATTTTCCCATTGAAAATGGTGATTTTCCATAGCTATGTTAGTTTACCAGAGGGTACTGCATTTGCAAATTCCAAGGTAGATACGTTCCCAGGTCGCGGAGATTCCCGGAGTGATGAAGTCACAGCATGTCACAGCGGCCAAAGGTCGTAGCAATTCGTTTGTGTCTAATACTTTGAGGAGCTCACAGAATTTTTCTCTCTCTGTCTACAATGTGTAATTTAGTAATTGATATATATATATATAATGTATTATGTAGACACATGTAGACACATTTGCCTTGATTGGGAAGCTTCATGAGTGGTGGGTGATTTCTAGGTGAATTGTAGATATTCAATCATCGGGTGGCAGAGTATTAAGTCAGAGTTGTTCCCATAAATACTCTCCGGCAATTTCACAGTTTGCGATGGAACATGGCCCACTTATAGAAGATCCAGCAAAAAAAGTGTAACAGTTACCACTTTTCATAGCTATGTTCAGAATCACCTTCCCAGCACTAAAAAACAGCCGGTCATGCCGCCTCCTCCACCGTTGAGCCTACCGAAATCTGCCCCTGCGCCAGTCCATGACCTAGGGCCTGAGAGAACCTGCGCAGTGGACCAATTTGATTCCTGAAACCTGCATAAATGCAATGTTCTGCATCTTTATTTTGCTGGGCTTTTTTTCCCGTTTGTTCCACTCAAAGCATTGTTCTGCAGATCTGCGGTGTTTGGTATTTTTGAATGTGTTGCTGCCACGTTGAAATTGCCATGTGCCTTCTGGTTTATTAGGAGTGTTGAAAAGAGAGACTTTCACACGCAGCCAGTGACATACGCTGCCTCTCAACTAGCTATTGCCAGCGCAACTTTCCATTTTTTTGTGTCTGATTGCATTTTGAATCTTCATTTACAGAGGGACATTTGTTGAAAAATGCGATTTGTTCCTCCAACCACTGCAGATCAAACATCTTAGCTTTGCGAAAGACGACTGAATTCCATTGCGCCTGGCCAAACTACAGTGAAATCATGTGAAATCACAGCTCCGAAAGGAACTTCCAGATGGCCAAATACATGGATGAATTACATATAATTTATACATTTAGGGTTTGTTTGAAGATAGGGTACCACTGTACCACCTTAGGGTAGCACCTTAAATTTGATCGTTAATCGTATTTGGGATATATCCCCCACTCAGGTCAAGGCTGGTGGTGCAGGCGCTGCCATGGTGGTAAAGATGTAAACACCCAGTTTTCAGAGGGATTCTGATGCCTACCATAGGCTTTCGCAGCCATGTTTTTTTTTCGTTCTTTGGGAGTCCAGGGTGATATAATATATATATATATATAGAGTCCTACATGGTGATAGAATTGATGTTAAACATGTTTTTTTGTGATGATGATTGGGGGTCATAATCCCAAATCTACTAGGCATGATCAGAATCCAGCTGGGAATCACAAGTGACGAAGCGTTATTCGGGAGACTTTTTGGAGATTCTCCAGAAGGCTCTTTTCGCGTTGTTCACTTAGGCCTTAGACTGAACTGGACTGAGTCATACTGAGTCTTTGAGTTGGAGATCACACTTTTGAAATCTGAGTCTTAAACATTCTATAGTTATAATGGATACTAGTTATTATAGTCATAAACCACATTAGCATTGTTTTGGTGCAATGCTCCCTCTCTCTCTCTCTCTCCAGGCTACGGTTCTGGAGCTCCTGGAGCCCCGGCGGCTCCAAGTACCTTGCTCCAGTCTCAGAGATGGAGCGGCTGGAATTTATATCAACCCCTAACGATAGAAGAGTATAACAGTATAATACAGTAGATTATAATAGTATTATAATAGATTATAATAGATTATACTAGTATATAATAGTATAATGTACCATTAAGATCCTTTTTTTGTGCAAATCTATCATTGGTTTGAAGATGATATATTCATATATAATCCGATGGAACAGATTGAATATTTACCAGGGGGGTTCACTTCCATTCAGCAATGACGGTCAGTGCCGCTCACTCCCAGGCCCAGTCGACCAGCACCTGCAGCACCAAAAAAGGTGCCGGGTGCTCCTTCTGTGTCTCGGTCAACAGGGAGGTATTTGATGTTGGGAGGGGGATGGGATTGCGATACTAAACAAAACCTACGAAAAGGAAACATACAAGTGAGTATGAATCATGATAATTTCGTAGCATCTCATAGCAAGAAGAGTGAGCAAGCATAAGCAACACATGACTGGTTGGTGGTTTGGAACATGGCTTTTATGACTTTCCATTCAGTTGGGAATGTCATCATCCCAACTGACGAACACTCCATCATTTTTCAGAGGGGTGGCGAAAAACCACCAACCGGATGGTCGACTCGCTAGGAAAAGACCAAAGTTCCGGCACTTTCACATGCGATGGGATGAACATTTACTTGGGAGATAACATCGGATATGTACTAAATGATATTACAATTGATATACCGTCATATCAACTTGTATTATACATATATATATATAGATATACACATAAGATTCCGAAAGTGTCACTGAAAGGTGGCATGGCGGGTTGGTGGGATGGCGAGTTTGAAAACGACCGCCAGCGCGGAGGCCTTGCCCAAAGCGGAGGCAAAAGGCGAAAATGCTGCCGGGACTGATGTAAGCTGCAAAGCCTACGTTTGACCGTGCTGGAAGTCATCTGAAGTTCAGAGGGGGTGGGGGATGTGATCCCTTATGAAGAGAAGTGGAAGCTAATAAACCGTTGAGCATATTTGCTCGGGGTGGGTGGGGTATTTGGCATTCTTTTGAAGTGAAGTGGAAGTTAATAAACAATTCAACATATTTGTTTAGAGGGGGTTAAGGGTTTGATCCCTTACGAAGAGAAGTGGAAGCAGTTAAAAAACCATTCAACATATTTGTTCGGAGGGCGTGGGGGTATTTGGTATCCTTTTGAAGAGAAGTGGAAGTTAATAAACAATTCAACATATTTGTTTAGAGGGGGTTAAGGGTTTGATCCCTTACGAAGAGAAGTGGAAGTTGATAAACTATTCAACATATTTGTTTAGAGGGGGTTAAGGGTTTGATCCCTTACGAAGAGAAGTGGAAGTTAAAAAAACCATTCAACATATTTGTTCGGAGGGCGTGGGGGTATTTGGTATCCTTTTGAAGAGAAGTGGAAGTTAATAAACAATTCAACATATTTGTTTAGAGGGGGTTAAGGGTTTGATCCCTTACGAAGAGAAGTGGAAGTTGATAAACTATTCAACATATTTGTTTAGAGGGGGTTAAGGGTTTGATCCCTTACGAAGAGAAGTGGAAGTTAAAAAAAACAATTCAACATATTTGTTCGGAGGGCGTGGGGGTATTTGGTATCCTTTTGAAGAGAAGTGGAAGCTAATAAACCGTTGAGCATATTTGCTCGGGGTGGGTGGGGTATTTGGCATTCTTTTGAAGTGAAGTGGAAGTTAATAAACAATTCAACATATTTGTTTAGAGGGGGTTAAGGGTTTGATCCCTTACGAAGAGAAGTGGAAGCAGTTAAAAAAACCATTCAACATATTTGTTCGGAGGTCGTGGGGGTATTTGGTATCCTTTTGAAGAGAAGTGGAAGTTAATAAACAATTCAACATATTTGTTTAGAGGGGGTTAAGGGTTTGATCCCTTACGAAGAGAAGTGGAAGTCGATAAACTATTCAACATATTTGTTCGGAGGGCGTGGGGTATTCGGTATTTGGTATAGTTAAAAAACCGTTCAACATATTTGTTCAGAGGGGTTGGGGGGTTTGATCCCTTATGAAGAGTAGATTCCCCTAGTAGAAAGCGCCCATGTTAAACTTATGGATGTCTCAGCCGGATATCAGGATTGTTTGAAAGGAGGAGGCTACAGTCCTTACTTGTGTCGCCAGAGAGTAGCGAGGGTGTAGATTATGTTTGAGTTAGATAGTAGGGGAGAGATCTTGTGGGTTATGGTCGAACGTGGGGTTTGGCGCCAACATCTTTCAATTAAGAAATATTCAGAATGATTGAAGAAGGTATATGGAGGTTTCCTGAGTCATAGGGCTACCCCCAAATCATCATCCATTTATACATGG